TATTCTGCCCTCTGAGATGTTTTGACTTTTGGCATCCTCCTCCTAGGCAAGCCGGAAACCCTGAGGGCTGACATCTTTACTCTTTGTTTCTAAGTAACACTGAAAGTCAGCATGCGGAAAAATAATTTTTAATAGAAAAGAACAGAGCAAGAAATAGAACCTCAGTTTTATCTGTTTCCCACATCACCTCCCAGGCAGGAGGAATTCATACACTTGAAGTTATGCAATTTTTCCCAGTTTATCAACCAAGGGTCTAATTAGATTTCTATACCCTTTGGCCAATCACTTCCTTTATCATAAACATCTTCCTTGGACCGAAAAAAGTTTAAGAAATAATTGTAACATACTTGATAAGACACAAGCCCTTTGAATTCCCAACTACCTCAACAGCAGTTTGTTACTGTATTTTTCCGTCTTTTCATTATATATATTTTTAAAAATTTTTAATGTTTATTTATTTACTTTTGAGAGAGAGAGAGAGAGCACAGTGGGAGAAGGAGCAGAGAGAGAGGGAGACACAGAATCCAAGAAGGTTCCAGAATCTGAGCTGTCAGCCCAGAGCCTGATGCAGGGTTCAAACCCATGAACCATGAGATGATGACCTGAGCCGAAGTCAGATGGTTAACTGACGGAGCCATCCAGAAGCCCCCTGTTACTATATTTTAATTCCGCTACCTGCAGAAAGAACTTAAAAAATTCTGTATTGCCAATGACTTTGTTTTACGTTAAATGCATTTTCAGCAAAAACATGCATAGCTCTTCATTTTCATTATAGTTTGTGGAGTTATACTCCACCTCTTTGAGGGTGGCATAGTTGCATAAATCATTTGTTACTCTTCTGTTAAGGAGACTTGCTTATTCTTCTCATTCAATATTTATTGGTTATCAAGCGAATAAGTCAGGCAGAGAAGGACAAATATCATATGTTTGCACGTATAGGAGGATTAGGAGGAACTTGACGGAGGAACAAGGGGGAGAAGAAGGGTGGAAATGGTGGGGGAAAGGGAGAGAGGCAAACCATGAGAGACTCTTGAATGCTGACAAAAACTGAGGACTGATGGATGTGGGGGGGAGGGGGGGATGGGCATGGAGGAGGGCACTTTGGGGATGAGCACTGAGTGTTATGTGGAAACTAATTTGACAATAAACTATTTGTAAAAAAAAAAAATATTTATTGGTTATCAGCCTGAACTCACTGATATTTAATGTATACTTTGGGCTGTATCCTATACTACTTTATATTATTGCTCAAATTGTCCCTGATCGGCCAGGACATGTGGCCTTTCATATGCTTGGCAGAAGGAAGAAAAATACAAAAGATTTGAAAGAATGCTTACTGTGTACAGGTGCTGTCTTGGGTCCTTCTTGTCCTTTTTCTTTTCTTTTTAGTTTATTTATTTTGACCGAAAGAGAGACCATGAACAGGGAAGGGGCAGAGAGAGAGGAGAGAGAGGATCCCAAGCAAGCTCTGCCCCGTCAGCCCAGAGCCTGGTGTGGTGGGATCCGGGGCTCCAATTCATGAAACGTGAGACCATGACCTGAGCCGAACCCAAGAGTAGGACGCTTAACCGACTGAGTCACCCAGCACCCCCTTCTTGTCCTTTAAGCTTACTTTAGTAGCATTCAGTTTCTGAAGCCCATGTGGCAGCAGGAGTACAGGTATTGGTTCTCTAACCAGATGGTGACTTTACACCAGTTACCTAACCTCTCTGAACCCCAGTTTCTTTTTTTTTAATTTTTTTTTAACATTTATTCAGTTTTGAGAGACAGAGAATGAGTGGGGAAGGGGCAGAGAGAGAGGGAGACACGGAATCCGAAACAGGCTCTGAGCCATCATCACAGAGCCCAATGCGGGGCTCGAACCCACAAACCATGAGATCATGACCTGAGCTTAAGTCGGATGCTTAACCGACTGAACCACCCAGGTGCCCCTGAACCCCAGTTTCTTAATCTGTAAGATGAGAATAACGCCTATTTGCAGGGTTGGGATGAGGATGAAACTGAAGATTTACAAATTAATTACATGCCCCACAAAAATAGCAAATGGTTCCAGTTGTGTGAGGTGCCTGGAATGGTCAGAGGCACAGCGAAAGTAGAATGGTGGTTGCCAGGGGAAATGGCGAGTTCATGTTTAATGGGACAGAGTTTCACTTGGGGATGATGCAGACATTCTGGGGATGGACAATGCTGACGGATGCACCTCAGTGTGAATGTACTTAAGGGTGCAGAGTTGGATTTGAAAATGATTAAAATGGTAAATATTGTCACGTGTATTTTACCCCACGCAAAAATATTTGCTTATTGTTTAAAATTTAGAAAACATTTTGGGTCGCCTGGGTGGCTCACTCAAGCGTCAGACTTCGGCTCAGATCATGAGCTCATGGTCCATGAGTTCGAGCCCTGCCTAGGGCTCTGAGCTGACAGCTTGGAACCTGGAGCTTGCTTTGGATTCTGTGTCTCCCTCTCTTTTCTGCCCCTTCCCCTCTCATGCTCTCTCTCTCTCTCTCTCTCAAGAATAAATAAACATCAAAAAAAAATTTTAAGTAAAATAAAATTTAGAAAACATCTTTAAAAAATGTTTTAAATCCTTAGTAATCCCAATAGTCAGTGGCCACCTCTGTTTTGTCATTTGTAGCCTCTTTATGGCTTGGGTTCTAGTCATCCAATTTTGTTCTTTCAACATTACACAGATGTATCTCTCTGAGCTGTTGAAAACTCAATAAGCCTTTTTGTTGGCATCATGATATTCCATCACCACTAATTTTAGCCATTGCCATATGTTTAGACATTTTCAACATTATAAATAACACCATAATAAACATCTCTGTTTATCAATGTCTTAAGAATTTTTTTTCATGTTTATTTATTTATTTTGAGAGAGAGAGCACATGTGCAAGCCGGGGAGGGGCAGAGGGAGAGAGGCAGAGAGATACTTGAGCCAGAAGCTTTAACCAACTGAGCTACCCAAGTGCCCCTAATATATCTCTAACTTGGTCCCAGAAGGAGAATTATTGAGCAGGGAGGTGACCATCTTTAAGGCACATGGTCTATGTTGTGGTCCCTTCTCAGGAAGGTAACCTGACTCCATCACCACGGGCTACGTGAAAGACCCCATTTTAAGGCACCCACAGGTGCCTATATTTAAGGTTGCCCAATGTTAAATATGGTATTTTATTGTTGTAATGTTGCCTGCCAATGTTCTTTGACTTCCTCTACCCCCCTGTTATACTCAATGTCATCTTTAGTCATTCGTATGAAATATTATATAGTAAGCCTATTTATTAATCCCCCCTCTGTCAGGGGGGATTTATTGTCAAAAAAATCTGTTGCTTTAAAAAGTTTTTTAATGTTAATTTTTAAGCGAGAGAGACAGGCAGGCAGAGTGTGAGCAGGGGAGAGCAGAGGGGGAGAATCCCAAGCAGTTTCCAGGCTCTCAGCTGTCACCACAGAGCCAGAAGTGGGGCTCGAACTCACCAACCAAAGATCATGATCTGAGCCGAAGTGGGCGGCTCAACCGACTGAGCCCCCCAAGCGCCCCCAAAGCCTGTTGCTTTTAAGGAAAGAAAATGTGGAAAATATACATATATATATTTTTTTAATTTTTAAAAATGTTTTATTTATTTCTAGGAGAGCGAAAGACAGCGTGAGAAGGGGAGGGTCAGAGAGAGAGGGAGACACAGAATCTGAAACAGGCTCCAGGCTCTGAGCTGTCAGCACAGAGCCCGACGCGGGGCTTGAACCCACGAACCGTGAGATCATCACCTGAGCCGAAGTCGAAAGCTTAACTGACTAAGCCACCCAGGCGCCCCTATATATATATATTTTTTAATGTGGAAATATTTTTATCTCTGAAGTTCATTGCTTTCCCCGCCCCCACCCCCCATTAATTTAAATCACAAACACCAAGCTCCCGAACGGAGTCAGTGGGGCTCCGCGAGCTGATGCAGAGTAAGCAAGGGACCCCCAGGCCAGGCCCGCGGCCTTCAGGGTTCGGTCGCCCGGGCAACTGATAAACCAGCGTCTTCCCGCCGGACCCCGCGCTGGTGACGGTGGCGGCCGCGCGCCCGCGTCCCGCTCCAGCCCTGCAGCCCGGGGGCGAGTCCCCACGGCCGGGCAGCGGCGGCTCCGGGCTCACCCAGGCGCTTTCTAAGCGCGGCCCCCGGGGAACCGGAGGGACGCCCCACGCGCCCCGATGCGGGGACCTTCCTTCCGCCGGCCCGCGACGGCCGGCAGCGCGCTGTCTTCCCGCTCTCCCTGCGCGGCCTCCCACCGCCTGGAGGCGTCGCCGCGCCTCCACCGCTCCCGCTTCGCTCCGCGCCGTCGGGGCGTCCCGGGCGCCCCAGCCCCGCAGCCAGGGGGGTGCATGCGGGTCCCGAGACTTCCGTAGCCGCCCCCCCCCCAACTGCGCTGCCGCTTAAGAGCTGCGGAGGTGAGATCCTTCGGAAACCTGGGGACCCAGACGCTCCCGCAGCAACCAGAACCCCAAGGGCCGCGGGGAACCCTGGAGGGACGGGAAGAAACCGGGGACCCCTCCCCTCCCGCAGCGGGCGGGGGACACCCCCGGGCGAGGGTCCGGCCACCCCTCACCCGTAAGGGTGAGTTCCCCGCAGAAGCACACAACCCCCCGCCGCCAGCACGCGGCTGCTTCCCGAGTCCCTTCCCGCCGCCCACTCCCCAGGCTTCCTCGCCCCCGCCCCGGGCGACCCTGGGTTTCCTTTGTCCCCTCCACACCCCTGCCCCGAGCTTCCAGAGTCCTCTCCAAGGATAGTCCCCCTGGAACCCCCGCGCGGCGCCCCTTCTGGACCTTTCGTCGTCCCCTCCCCCTCTCCGCCTCCCGCGCCCTCCCCGCCCCCTCCTCGGTTTCCCCGGTCCCCTCCCGCCCCGCCCCCGTTTTTAAACCTGGCGCCGAGCGCACTGGTAGGTGAGCGCCCTCGCCCGAGCGGTTAGAGGCGCGGCCGAGTCGCGGGCGCCGCCGGAGGGGCGCCGGCCGTGCGGGCACCATGAGACCCGAGGCGGCGGCCGGAGTCTGTCACGGCCCCGCCGACGGTCCCCGGAGGCCGCCGCCGCCGCGCGGGCCGGAGAGGTGAGGGTGTCCCCGCGGCGCGACGGTGCGGGGGGCGCAGAGCGGGGTGCCCCCGCGCCGCCGAGCCCCCCGAGCGCCGGGCGGAGCTCGGGAGCCCGACGGCGACGCGGGGCGAGTCAGGGACGCAGAGTCCTCTGGGTTTCGGGGTACAGTGCCGAAGTGTGGAGGCCCAGGAGAGCCCCGCGAGGAAACGGGCCGACGCTCCCATTCGTAGCTCTGAAATTCACAGGGGTGGGAACGTTCAAGTCTCCGGGCGTCGGCCTTACAGGGGATCCCCTCACAATGACTGTCACAAGCTTGGTGACGGTCTTTGCTGGCCCTGTGCTTGGGGCTCAGCCCTTTCAAGGTAGTGCCATTAAAATCGAATTAGCCCGGGAGCGCCGTGCAAGGGGCTGGGTGGCTAGGCAGCCTGAGGGGAGAAATCCATTGGCCCCTTTTGCACCGTAGATCCCTGTGGAATCTGTTTGCAAAGTCAAGATCCTTCAGCAGCGGGGGTGGTGCGTAGAAATGAATGAGCGACAAAGTAGCCAGCCACAGTGGGGAGTCAAGGGAAGAAAGCAGGCCGGCCGGGGAGAATTCCCTCAACTCCTGGGACCTCTGATCATTGCATCAGATTTGGGACTTCTCAAAGCCCAATGAAGGCAGAGAACTGATAATGTGCAAGGAGAAAAAGAAAAAAGAACCCCCCCCCCCAAAAAAAACGGTACTGGTTTATCCACACACTGAGAACTGGAGAGAACTTTCTGGGGTATCCTGTGATCCTTTCTCAGGCAAACCTTAGAACTGATAAGAATGATAACTTTTACGATATTCTTTTTAAAGTTTATTTATTTTGAGAGGGAGAGAATCCCAGGCGGGCTGTGCGTGGTCATAGCAGAACCCCACGCGAGTCTCAATCTCACAAACCGTGAGATCATGACCTGAGTCAACAACAAGACTCGGCTACTTAACCGACTGAGCCACCCAGGTGCCCCTTAACGACATAATTTTGAAAGACAGCAGAAAATGCTGGGGTTCATCTCTGGTCCCTGCCTTTCCAGCCCCACACCATGGAGACCTTGGATCCTGACACCCCAAGAAACTGAGCTGCCCGGAACTGGAAGGCGGGTAAGGGTAAGGCGGGCATTGTGGTAGCCAACAGTTCAGCCACAGAAGGTGGCACCAACTCAAAACTGGCCATGTCCCCCCCTCGGTGGTCTAATACAGAAGTGCCTGTGGGTTTGGGAATGGGAGCCTGGGTGAGCCCGCTGTTGATCAGACCTGAGTCACGTGAGTGGGTTGGGCTCCTACTTGCTTCTCTTTCTCTTTTAATGTTTATTCACTTTTTTGAGAGCGAGATGGAGACAGTGCATGAGTGGGGGAGGAGCAGAGAGAGAGGGAGACACAGAATCAGAAGCAGGCTCCAGGCTCCGAGCTGTCAGCACAGAGCTGGATGCAGGGCTCGAACCCATGAGCCTTGAGATTGTGATCTGAGCTGAAGTTGGGCACTTAGCTGACTGAGCCACCCAGGCGCCCCTGCTTGCTTCTTTCGCGAAAAGCAAAGCCTAGCTATGTCATAGTTCTTTCAAAGGCATTATGAGACAAAGAAAGGGAGATTTCTTTTATGTTGTTTTCTCCCCCGTGCAAACCAGCAAGTAGAGAGAGGGGAGAAGGCTTCCTCTGTCTGCCCCCCCGCCCCCCTCCTTTGAGAAAGGCTGAGGGTTCATTACTGCCGGGCTGGTACCACAGTGCAAATTAGGGCAGAGACCAGTCTGGGGTGCCCAGAAGTTGCTGTTAAAAGCCCACCATCTGGCCCTTTCTGAAGCAGGTTTGCTCATTTCTGCAAGCACTCCTGGGGTAATTCATGTTGTCTGAGCAAATACACTTCAGCTGAGGGCTTCGTGGGTAAAGATTAATCTCCACCTCTATTCTTTTGTTTCCTGCACTGGTAACTAAATGGCTTTATACTTACTGCAGTAATGGCTTGCTTTCATAGACTTTACCTTTCCTTCTTTAAATCTTCAAATGTAACTTGATGACTTTTATAATGCTAAATTACTAATCAGGCTAGGAAGGACCGTGTATTTAATTTACATAACATGTGGTATATGCTATGTGTGCAGTTATTTATAATATGATAAGAAATTCAGGTGCAGGAAAGCTGACCTTGGGCTGTATTTGGTATCCAGACTACTTTATTAAATTAGCCTGGATAATGGAAGTTGTTCATTCAGTTACTACTATTTAAAGAATGAAACAAATACAATCTATATCAAATTAATGAGGGATGTGATTTTGTAGCTCAAATTAGTCTTAAATACATGCAATATCTAAATAATGGAAAACAATTTCATCGTTCGCATCCGAGCTGAAGTTCTTAAATATAAGATTTAAGAGGTGCTTGGGCAAGGGAGAAACTATAGAAGCTTACAATTCTGCAGTTTTTTGTCAAATAAAATGTATATGGAGCAGTTGTTGCAAGCATTAAAATCCTCTAAGTAGCACACTGCTTAATTAAGGCAGGTGGATTTTTTCCTATTCTGATGAGAAGGCTATCTGTGAGAAAAAGGAAGATTTCTTGCAGAAAATTGTTAAGCTGTAGTTAGCATGGCGTGCTGGATAAAGCAGGTGTGTCCATGGATGGTGGGGGTACCTTGCGGGGGGGGAGGCTGCAGCGCACGCCGCCCTGTACGCCTGCCCAGCTCTTTGCAGAGCCCAGTTGGCGGGGCGAAGTCAGCGGGCGGCCTGCGCGCGGGACCGGGAGCCGGAGCGAGGTGAGCGCAGCCCCGCACCGGGAGGCCCCGCGTCCGGCTCCACAGCGCCCTCTCCCGACAACGCGCGAGAATTCCTTGGCTCCAGAGCCCTGTTGTGTATTTCTCGAGAAATTGTAGGGCTGGATTCGAGGCCCTGTGCCCTGAGCAGTGGAGTCACCCTGACCCATTTGGTGTCCCTGCCTCCCCTTGGGAGCTCTCCTGCCTGGGGAAAATGAACGACAGCCTAATCCTTTGTTGACCTCTGTTACATTTCTCTCCGTGCCACTTGCCGACCTTGCAAGGGAGGGAATTCCCTAAAAGGAGAGGATGTCCGGTGATCTGAAACGAGGTGGGCCCGTCCTCCCATCTCACATCTTCCCACACCTTCGCTTTGTCAGAGCCAGAGGCGACATGGGGAGGAGACTGGAGACCCTCATGAGAGTCTCTGCTTGTATTTCTTTTCTTACTCTTAAGGACACACACCCATTCACAGTCCTTACCCTTATACATTTCTGTTCACCTTGAATTATCTAAGTGTGAATGTTGGGACATTTCTGTCATCAGAAAATGATCTTTAATTAGAGGGTATTTGTAGCATAAAGTTCTTTATTTTATTTATTTAGTTTTTATTTTTTCTTAGAGAAAGAGAGAGCGTGAGTAGAGGAGAGGGGCAGTGGGGGAGAGAGAGACAGAGAGAGAGAGAGAATCTTAAGCAGGCTTCACGCTCCGTGCTGAGCCCGATGTGAGGCTCGATCCCATGATCCTGGGACCATGACCTAAGCCAAAATCAAGAGTCGAGTGCTCAACTGACTGGGCCACCCAGACCCCCACCCAGTCCCCCTGGCATAAAGTTTTTAAAGTTGTGTATGTTCGTGGGTAAAGTTTTACAGTTTTTAAAGGTGTGTTGTATGTTTCACAGAGTCTGGTTAGAATTACTCACTTTATTTTGTTTAAACTTTTTTACCATGTTTATTTTTGAGAGAGAGAGAAAGAGCGTGGGGGAGGGGGGGAGGGACACAGAGAATCCAAAGCAGCTCCAGGCTCTGAGCTGTCAGCACAGAGCCTGACGTGGGGCTTGAACCCACAATCTGTGAGATCATGACCTGAGCTGAAGTCAGAGGCTTAACCAACTGAGCCACCCAGGTGCCCCTAAAATTACTCACTTTAAAGGAAGCTGTTTTTCTGTACTACCACTGCCTTGGTGTCGGCCAAAGTGTGTGCAGTGTTGCGTTCGACACTACCATCACAGGATATAAAATCGCCTGTGACAGCCCAGGATTACTTCCTGTGGTAGAGTGAGCAATTAGGGCTATTTTATAAAGACAAATAAAACTTAACACAGACATGATTCTCTGGAGTCCTCAAAAAGTAAACATTTTAGAGAAGATTTTGCTCAAAGAGCCTCATTTTCTTTCCCTAACTTAGCTCAGCACAACATATTGTAAAAAATATGGTTGGCAAAATTTAATGACATTTGGGGTGCCTGAGTGGCTCAGTCAGTTAAGCATCCAACTTTGGCTCAGGTCGTGATCTCAGTTTGTGAGTTCGAGTCCCGTGTCAGGCTCACTGCTATCAGCGCAGAGCCCACTTTGGATCTTCTCTCTCCCTCTCCCCCACCCCCCTCATGTGCACCCAGGTGCACTCTCAGAAATAAATAAGCATTAAAAATAAAAATAAAAATAAATATATATATATAATGACATTTTTTCACAAAGACCACGCACATCACTGTAGGACGGAATGATGTGATGATCGTTGATGGCAATCCTCAAAGTCCTTCCTTGTCACACTCTAGCAGATTTTGTCTCCCTCTCCATCTGGCTCCTCCTAAACTCCATGCAGCCCAAGGGCTGGGGTTTCTGATCCATGGCGCCAGCCCATTTCAGCTCACTTTCAGGCTGTCCCCAGATGGTCTATCCCAAGATGCCCCACTCCCGCTTTCCATAGTAACCCTAAAGCTTTCAGAGCTCTAACATCAAATGGCAATTTCTGGCTTCTCAGCCCCTTAGATAATCTGGCTACGGTTCAGGCCAAATTCACTGAGATTCAGGACCTCACAGAATGGGCAGAATGGGGGTCAGTCCTGGACAGGAAGTGTGTGCCTGTCCTTTATCTCCTTAGCACCTACTCTGGTCACAGCATGGACAAGCCTGGCACTTTCTCTCTCCCTCTCTCTCTCTCTGCTTGTGTCTTATCTCCATCGATGTTGCCCTTAGTTGCTCAGACTAGCGTCCTTTTCCTCCACTCCTGATATCCAAGTGGTCACAGGGTTTTTTGAATACTACTGAAGTGCCCTTGAGATCCATCTTTCCTTTCCCTTCCTGTCGCTGTCCAAATCTTTATCACCTCTTGCTGGGTGCCTCTGGGCCTTTACCTCCCCAACCTAGGCTATTCGCTGATCCCAGGGGCCACCACTATTCTTAAAATACAGATCTGACTGTTGAACTCCTGGCTTTAAAATCCTGGCCATGGTCTTCACTGCTGCCTCCAGAATGAAACCAAGACTCAAAAGTGGGTATTCAAGGTATCCTGTTATCAGGATTCAGCTTCCTGTTGGAGCCCATTTACTAACACAGCTTCTCATTCATTCCTCACTGTGCCCCTCACCCTTCCCCACCTGTGCCCCTCAGAATTTGATGCTCTTCTCTGCCAGGAATGATCTCAGAATCACACATTCAAATGCCACTGAGATCTCTCTGTCAGACCTTCCATGAACTGTTTCCTCTTCCCTGCTTAGAATTGCTGACGTCTTTCTATATGATGCGTTATAGGGCAGTTATTGGCTGTGTGTGTGTGTGTGTGTGTGTGTGTCTTTTCCCATTAGATTTTTTTTTAATATTTTTTATTTATTTCTAGGAGAGAGAGAGAGACAGCATGAGCAGGGGAGGGTCAGAGAGAGAGGGTGTCACAGACTGAAACAGTCTCCAGGCTCTGAGCTGGCAGTCAGCACAGAGCCCGACGCAGGGCTCGAACCCACGAACCGCGAGATCATGACATAAGTGAAAGTCGGACGCTTAACTGACTAAGCCACCCAGGCGCCCCTCTTTTCCCATTAGATTTAAAAGCCTGAACTGGGGAGGCCTGGGTGGCTCAGACTTAAAGTCAATAGGAAAAGACCATCCAAAGAGACAATAGGCAAACAGGTGATTCAAATATGAGAAGGAACGCCTGAGTGGCTCAGTCAGTTAAGCATCTGACTCTTGAATTTGGCTCAGGTCATGATCCCAAGGTCATGGGATTGAGCTTGAGATTCTCTCTCTTTCTCTCAAAAAAAAAAAAAAAAAAAAAGCCTGAACTGAAAGACTGTGTGAGATTGGACTCCTCTTTCCATCCTTAAATCCCTCACAGTGTCCAGGACATCACTGTCAACAGGAAGAGGAAGAGAGACTTATCAAATACTTACTGTTAAGGTGTTGGGGCGCCTGGGTGGCTCAGTCCGTTAAGCATCCAACTTTGGCTCAGGTCATGATCTCTCAGTTCTCAGAGCCTGGAGCCTGCTTCGGATTCTGTGTCTCCTTCTCTCTCTGTCCCTCTCCCACTCTCCCTCCCTCTCCTCCCCTCTCAAAAATAAACATTAAAAATTTTTTTTGAAGAACCACAAATACTGTTAAGGTGTTTAAATTGTCTCTAAAATCGGATTGGTACTAAGAAATGCAGACCACTTAGATTGTATTTTTTAGAATTTCAGGATGCTGCTTCAGAGGTTCCTTGACTATGTCTGTGTTTGATGTGTCTGTCTTTACAGCTTGAACCTGGTGGTGACCAGCAAACTCCTGGATCAAAGGGTGCCTTTGGGTTTCAGCATCCTGTAAGGTAACATGACTTCACAGCAAGAAGTATATTATTTGTTTTTAATAGAAGCATAAATATGCTTTAGTGTCTTCAACTGTGTACCTTCTCAACAAAGTGGAAAATAATTCAGTATATTCTCCTATATTTAGTTCTTATCCAAAGGAGCTTCAAGAATATTTTCTTGGATTTCTGGAATTCATTCATTCATTCATTCATGCATTCATGCATTCATTCATTCAGTGTTCCAGTTGCAAATTGGATTGACCTCTTTCCTTTATGCCTTTTGTTTATACCTCTCGTTACATGTTATGTCTTGTGTTAATTTTTTAAAAATGCTTATTTATTTTTGAGAAGGGGAGAGGCAGAGAGAGGGGGGTACAGAGGCTCCCAAGTGGGGCTTTGTGCTGACTGCAGAGATCCTGATTCGGGGTTCAAATCAACCAACCATGAGATCATGATCTGAGCTGAAGTCGGATGCTTAACCAACTGAGCCACCCAGGCGTGCCCCGTCTTGTGTTAAATTTAATTGGATATGAATTGTCTATGTGTATCTGCTTATTTACTTAAGTATTTAAGTACATTTCTATTTTTTTCCCAGGATATAAGTTAGCATATTGTCTAGAGCAAAGTAGACCTTCCAAATATGTGTGTGACTGAACAAGGGATTCGGTGGATGCTTCTCCCACCGTTGGCTTCTTCCGCCCCCTCTGCTCCCATGAACCTTCCTGATGGTGATCGGGACCCTCACTTCTGTATCCCTCTCACATTTCATCCATTTTAGGCAGGTGGCTCATGCTCAGGATTTTTAAATCTGTGTCTCTGTCTCTTTCTCTCCCCATCTCTCATTTCCAGCAGCAATTCCTAGTCTGTACCACTGCTTCTCATCAAAACAGTTTTACCCCGGTTATCCTGGAAGATTGGAAGGTTTAGTAAAAGCCAAAGATACTAATGGCTAGAGATGCAATTGAGAACCCTTCAGACTGGCCAGAGAGTGATTTCTGGAAAAGGGAAGGTTTCCTTGGGTCCCTTACACCTGTGGTCTTTATTCCCCATAGGACTGGGGAAGCTTTAACAGTACAGACACTGAGTGGCTCCCCTCAGAGTGCTGGCTCATTTGTTCTGGAAAAGGCCTAGGTATCTGTGTTCTTACAGTCTCCCAGGTGATCCCAGCATGCATCGGGGATGAACCTGCCACCCTCTCTCACGCCCTGAGAGCGTCCACTGCCCCGCCCCCCATGGACCTGCCGCCCACAGATACTCTGCTGCTGCTCCCCAATTTTAGTTTCATGAAAAATGCAGCAACTGGGGAGGCGTGCATTACGAGTGAGCGCGCAACTTTATTTTATCTGTTCGTTACAGCAGATTTCAAACTTACACCAAAGTGGAGAGAATGGTACAGTGACCCCGCCCCCCACATGCCTGTCACCAGCCTCCATAATTATCAACAATCTTCAGATCTGATGGTGCTTATCACCTTCTCCAATCAACTCTGCAGGGGTGCCCCGCTAGCTCAGTCGGTAGAGTGTGTGACTCTTATTATTTTTTTTAAATATTTTTATTTATTTCTAGGAGAGAGAGAGAGAGAGACAGCATGAGCAGGGGAGGGTCAGAGAGAGGGAGATACAGACTCTGAAACAGGCCCCAGGCTCTGAGCTGGCAGTCAGCACAAAGCCCAAAGCAGGGCTCGAACCCACGAACCGCGAGATCATGACCTAAGAGAAAGTCGGACGCTTAACCGACTAAGCCACCCAGGCGCCCCAGTGTGTGACTCTTAATATCGGAGTTGTAGTTTCGAGTCCCACGTCGGGTGTAGAGATTACTTAAAAATATAAAAAAAAATTAACCAGCTTTGCAAACAAGTAGTGATCAATTGATAATCCCTCTCAGTTCTTCAGAAGACCTCAGGGAAAAATGCAAATAACTTAGTGAGTGAAAGGCACAAGAATGAGAGATTCTGGGGAGAGTGGGGGTATGTTAAGTACTTTTCATGTATAACTGAAATCCTAAATTCTACCAAACCTGGATTTAGAGGCTCCAAATGTATATATTTAAGTTATTTCCTTTTCTTTCTTCTTTCCTTCTTTCATTTCTTCCTATTCTTTCAACTAGACAAATAGCCAGGGTTACCATTTTCTGTACTGGCAAAGGGAGGAGCCCACCCCATCACTTCTCTATAGCAACATCCAGAAAAATTAGCTGCTTCTCTAGACCACGGCCTCAAGGTCCAGTTTCCTCCAGGGCCCAAAGGGCCACAACATTCCCCATGCTTAGGGGTGTTAGGGAGAGTGGGACGGACGTAACCAAGATGGGACATATATTCTCCAGGAGAAGTCAAGTTCTCCATTCGATCAGAGTGAGACCCTTCATCTTGAAACTCAGTGTTTGAATTTCCTCTTACCTTCCTGGAAGCAGACCTTTTCTCCTGTGTTGGTCTAAATTGATTTGCTCACTCACATTATAGCTCGTTTCTGAACTGGTGTGGGGTTCCTCACCAGGTCTCTCCACCTGCCCACAGTGTTGTGCTCTGGTGACTTAGAAAACACACCGTGGGGCCCCTGGGTGGCTCATTTGGTTAAGTGTCTGATTTAGGCTCAAATGATGATTTCATGGTCATAAGTTCAAACCTCATATCGGGCTCTGTGCTGATAGCTCAGAGCCTGGAGCCTGCTTTTGATTCTGTGTCTCTGCCTCTCTCTGCCCCTCTCCAGCTCACAATCTGTCTCTCTTTCTTTCAAAAATAAATAAACATTTAAAAAAAAAAAAGAAAGGAAGGAAGGAAAGAAAACACTCCGGGCACAGTGAAGGCAAGATCAGAGAGGGAGATTGGGAGTTAGCTGCTTCTAGGAAAGGGGACCCTCTAGATGGAGTTTAGCGTTGTTTCAGGGTGATTAATGGTGTATTTGTTTCTTAAATATTAGACTTTATTTACCCATTTCAAAGCGCCGAGAGTATCTGCAGAGTTCTGGGGAAAAAGTGCTGGCCAGTTTCCCGGTACAAGCCACAATCCACTTCTACAACGATGACTCCAATTCAGACGATGAAGACCAAGAGGAAGAAATCCAGTCTTCCAAACTTCAGTGCCAGGAGACAGACGGTCAGGCGGAGAATGGCCCGGGGGGGAGGGGCAGAGGCCAGCTCACAAACCTGGGACACAGTGGCCTCGGTGGTAAGGGTCCACTCCCTCACAGTGACTCTCTGTGCCCGCCACCCAAATAAATGGAGTCTCTGTCCCACGCCAGACCTGGCTCACACGCATGCTTGGGGACAGCTGTGGCAGGACACCTTGCATTTCCCCTGGTGACGGGGTCGGACACTATCTCTGGCCAGGACTCCTCTCTCAGCAAGAACTTTGCTTTTAACTTTTCCTTCTCTGGGAGATTCTCTTTGGACGCTCACGTACACCGTTGAGAAAAGGATTGTAGGATCGGAGAAGGTTTGTGTTGACCTGGGTTGTTATCAGATGGGACCAACTTTCACAGCACTGTTTACCATTGTCACTGTGCCGTCAAGTGACAGATAATTCCAGTATAGGTTAATAACCCACCTGTGCCGCTCCCTTAACCCCGGACTCATTATTTAGCGATTTCTACTTTTGTAAAAATGATGTAGATGTTGTCCCAGGGTCGATGTGTTTGCTCAGTGGCATTCTCAAAATATTTATGAAAAAATAAATAAAACTGAATAATTTCCATAAAGTTAAAGAAATTTTAAATGGATTTTTAGGAGACAATTCTGGATAAAAATGTACGACTCTTGTCTAAGGGCTGAGTGTATGAATATATGGAGAGAGGAGCTTTAACTCTTAGCTGGGGGCTGGTTTGGGCTTGTTACTTGAATAGAATGACACTGTTTTCAATCAAATTATCTAATATAAAATTATTTTCATTTCTTAAGTATTTTGATGATCAAATGAGTGTAGTCCACGAGTTTCTTACTTAAGTATCTTACATGTGGTTGTTTTCCTGTATATAGTACGTCATATAAGTCTATACTTGAAATAAATATTTTGAAAGAAACAATGTTTGATAATCACCTTTTTTGTGTAAAATAATTTGCTTGTAGATTTATTTATTAAGATAGTAATCTCCATACCCAATGTAGGATTCGAAATTATAACCTGAAATCAAGAGTGGCATGCTTCATCCACTGAGCCAGCTGAGAACTCCATGTTTAAGACAATTCTAGATTTCATTAGTGCCTGCTTTAAAGTTTTTAAAAGTTTGTCAGAGTGTTTTCACATTTAACTCTTTAAATGATATTAATTGTGTTTAAGAATTAAAAGAAGTATAAAAAGAATGCAATCGATGTGCAAAAAGTCTATTAATATTAAAAAAATGGAATTGGGGCATCTGGGTGGCTGAGTCAGTTAAGCATCCGACTTTGGCTCAGGTCATGATCTTGCGGTTCATGGGTTTGAGCCCCGCTTCGGGCTCTGTGCTGACAGCTTGGAGCCTGGAGCTGCTTCAGATACTTATAAAGTACACATTATATGGAACCATTTGAAATTGCTGGTGTTGGGCTGTTTTGAACTGCATTTCCTTTCAATTTACAAAAAAGGAAAAAATGTCGTTTTCCACAACCTACGTTTCTCCTTCATTTTCTGCAACAGCTTCCCTAATAATGATGTAGAAAACAGAGATCACATGTGGTGCCATCTCTATACTTTTTCTCTGGAATCTTTAAAAAATTCAAATCAAAGCAGCCCCTCCGACAATGGTTACAATTAGCCAGATTTCCATGAAATATGTTATTTTGAATAAGTAATTTATGGTTCAGGCTGCCTTCTATGAGACATCTTAGAATGTCACATAAAGTGGCTCACAAAAAAAATAGCTCCTAATGAATGTGATTTTGGAAACAGAATCTTGCAAATAGCACGGGCTGAAGCATGTTGGAAACATTTGTACTTTCACCCAGGTGTAGGGCAAGCCTCCCACACTGGGTAATTTGCTGTAATTTGTTTCTTTGCGTCTCCCGCACATTTTCTATAAGTCTTCCCGCTGATTTGCCAACAAAAGAATACATTTCACTGTGTGGCCATATTTCCTGTTTGCTATTTTAACCACTGTTACTGCGGTAGGAAGAAAAAGTATCTTCTCCAGTGCTCCATCTCTTTCTGAACATCTGTATTAAACAAGAAACTGCAAAATAATCTAAACATTTATCGTTAAGTTCGGTGCAATTTGGTGGAATGCTAGATTGAGGTTCACGTGATTTTAAACATACCAGTATAATCTGAAGTATCATCTGTGCCTTGTGTGAAGTTCAATGATCATGTGTAAATAACCCAATTTTTCTTCTTGAGAATTTCAATTATTTTTTTTGCTCACTTCCTATCAAATCTCTTTATTTGTTATGTGGCTGAACATGAGCTTGTAAGAAAAGCAGAGGGTTTTAGGCTTGTCATTTTCTTGTGTTTTGCTTGTGCTTCAATTACCTGTATTATTTTCTTTTTTTTTTTTTTTTTTTTAAATATTTTTTAATTTATTTCTAGGAGAGAGAGAGACAGCGTGAGCAGGGGAGGGTCAGAGAGAGAGGGAGACACAGACTCTGAAACAGGCTCCAGGCTCTGAGCTGGCAGTCAGCGAAGAGCCCGACGCGGGGCTCGAACCCACGAACCGCGAGATCATGACCTAAGCGAAAGTCGGACGCTTAACCGACTAAGCCACCCAGGCGCCCCACCTGTATTATTTTCAATCCAATTTCTTGGGCAGAAATTTTTTTTATCTATAATTTACATACTATAAAACTCAATTTTTAAAAAAGTTTATTTATTTTGAAAGAGAGAGAGAGAGAGAGAGAGAGAGATTGAGACTATGAGCAGGGAAGGGGCAGAGAGAGGAAGACAAAGAATCTCAAGCGGGCCCTGCTGTGCTAGTGAAGAGCCCCACACTGGACTTGGACTCATGAACCGTGAAATCATGACCTGAGCCAAAATCAAGACTCTGACGCTTAACTGACTGAGCCATCCAGGTGCTCCTAAAATCACATTTTAAGAGAACAATTCAGCAGTTTTCGGTGCAGATTCACAGAGTTGCATAACCACCCCCCACTACCTAGTTTTAGAGTATTTTCATCATTCCAGAAAACCCTACCATACCCATTAGTCCCTAACGGTCACTTCAACCTCTGTCAACAACGAATCTACTTTCTGTCTCCTGGATTTCCTTTTATAGGTATTTCATGTAAATGGAATCACCACTTGTGGCCTTTTATGTCTGGCTTATTTCACTTAGCATCATGTTTCCAAGGTTCGTTCATGATGAAGTGTGTATCAGAGCTTTGTTGGATTTTATGGCTGAATAACGTTTTATTGTATGGATATACTTCATCGTATATACCCATTCATCAGTTGATGGACACTTGGATTTTCACTTTGGGGCTCTTATGAATAATACTCCTATGAACATTTGTGCACAAGTTTTTCTGTGGACATAGTATTTTCATTTCTCTTTGGAATGTGCCTAGGAGTGGAATTCCTGGATAAAATGATAGCTTTTTTTTTTTTTAACCTGAGAAACTGCCAGAAGTATCCAAAGCAATTGCACCATTGTGCATTCCTACCAGCAGTACATGAAGGTTCCAATTTGTCTACATCCTTGATTATGCTTGTGACCGTCTGTTTTTCTGATTACAGCCAGCCTAGCGGATCTGAAGTGATACCTCCCTGTGGTTTTGATTTGCAGTTCCCTACTGATTAATGATGTGCACTTCTCGAGAGCTTACTGGCTATTTGTATATCTTCTTTGGTGAAATGTCTATTCTAGTCCTTTGTTCATTTTCCTACTGGGTTGTCTTTTTCTTGTTTAATTGTGATAGCTGGGCAGAATTATTTTTACTTTTAGTTATTTGTTTATTCATTTAATTTTTTAACATTTATTTATTTTTGAGAAGAGAGAGACAGAGTGCTAGTGGGGGAGAGTCAGAGAGAGGGAGACACAGAATCTGAAGCAGGCACCAGGCTCCGCACTGTCAGTACAGAGTCTGATGAGGGGCTCCAACCCGTGAACTGAGAGATCAGGACCTGAGCCGAACGAAGTTGGACACTTAACTGACTGAGCCACCCAGGTGCCCCTGCGCAGAATTATTTTTAAAACACTTTGTCTTTCTGGTGTATGTTAATTTAGTTATAATTGGTTAACACAACCTACAAATCTTCTTTGTCACACACGTATGCACAGCAATATGCTGGGCCCGATAAGTACAGTTGACTCCATCACCTGGTGTTACACAAACCCTCCTCCTGTCTCAGGAGACCTTATGTACCTTGTATGATCCATGACCAGGTGCCAAGCAAAGGCATTTGCATTAAATTACTAGAGATTGGGTTCTCCTGGGTGGCTCAGTTGGTTAAGCATCCGACTTCGGCTCAGGTCATGATCTCATGGTTCGTGGGTTCGAGCCCCGCATCGGGCTCTGTGCTGACTGCCAGAGGAGTAACACCACTTCGACCTTTCCTGTACTCGTCTTCTGGTGGACGTAGGGGCCCAATTCCATTGTGTGTACATCTAGGAGAAGGAACAAGAGCTCAGTGTTCATAAGTTTGCCCTGCATATGTGTCTGGTCTCCTCCAGCCAGAAAATAATATGAGGACTCAGTTGAAGAGGCATGGACCAGCAAGTTCAAGAGGAAAAAAATGACATTACCAACAAAGTCAATCTTTTCTTTGAGACCTTTTTTAAGAAATTTATTTATTTTTGAGAGAGACAGACAGTGTGAGTGTGTACAAGTGGGGAAGGGGCAGAGAGAGAATTCCAAGCAAGCTCCACACTGTCGGAACAGAGCCCAATGCAGGGCTTGATGTGGGGATCGAATCCATGAACCGTGAGATCATGACCTGCACCAAAGTCAGATGCTTAACCGACTGAGCCACCCAGGCGCCCCTCTTGGAGATCCTTATAAATGGGCTAGAGCTCAGGGGTGCTGGGTATCCAGTGAGTGACCATGATCAGTGGGCTCTTCGTTCTTCCTGAGCTGAGATTTTGTAAAAGGATTCAGGAATTTACTTCCTTAGCAATGAAACCGGCTGTGAAATGGAAATGCGAAAAGAGATCTGGAACATTCCATCCTGGAGGAGAAAGTCTAAACTTTTCTCTGCAGGTTCCAAGAAGTTTCCAGGAACTTAGTAAGGTTTCAACCAAGCTCTTGAACTCATCTGATGCCTTTATAAACAGAGAAAATTCATTTACAACAAGAGTCAAATCTGGGACCAGAACCCACATCCTGCAACATGCCCCCTCCCCAGGGATGGGACTGAGCTCCATCCCCACTTCCCAGTGACTGGGCAGCTTCATACACTGACCACGGGCCAGGTGATGCTTTTCCTAGCTGTTTCTGTAGCTCATTCCTGACATGCTAATTATATAGACTCTGCTAAGATTTTTCCATTATTTTATTTTAGACCCCAAACAATCAACTGAAATCAGAGGGGTTTTTGTTTGTTTCTTTGGGCAACTTATTTTTATCATCGTCCCCCCTCTGTGATAGCAAGATAATATACTTAAGCAAGAGGAAAAACTATCTGGTTTTCTCTGTCTGTGTGACTCATTTTTGAATTGCTGGTGAAAGACCAATGCATAAATAGGTAGCTTTTATGATGATTATGAAAATGATAGATATTTATAAAAATAACTTCAATTGTCTTGGAGTTTGCTGGGGAAATCTAGAGTATGATATTATTGTAATATTCCATTACATCATTACATGGTAATCTTTACAAGCAGATTTTATTTTATAGTTTGAAATATTTAAAAAAGATGTTTAGCACAACTAGCAATTACATAAATGAAAATTAAAACCACAGATACTCTCATGCCCCTGCTAGAATGATTACAATTTTTAAAAAATTTTGGGGGGCACATGAGTGACTCAGTAGGTTAAGCATCGACTTCATCTCAGGTCCATGATTTCATTGTTCGTGAGTTCGAGCCCCACGTCAGGCTCTTTGCTGACAGCTCGGAGCCTGGAGCCTGCTTCAGATTCTGTGTCTTCCTCTCTCTCTGCCCCTCCCCCACTCATGCTGTCTCTCTCAAGTAAACTTAAAATTTTAAAAACATCAAAAAAATTCTTTATGTTTATTTATTTTGAGAGAGAGATAGATTGAAAGTGCATACATGAGTATGGAGGGGCAGAGAGAGAGATGGGGAGAGAGAATTCCAAGCAGACTCTGTGCTGTCAGGGAAAAGCCCTATGTGAATCTGGAAACCATGAACCAGGAGATCATGACCTGAGCCGAAATCAAGAATTGGACACTCAACCGACTGAGCCATCCAGGCATCCGTAGAATGATTACAATTTTTAAGAGACAGATAATAACAAATGTGGGTGGGTGGGATGTGCAGTAATAATTGGAAACCTCCTACATCACTGCTGGGAACATAAATGTAACAGTTTGGAAAACAGCTTGGCAATTTCACTAAAAAGTTAAACGTGCAAATCAAAACCACAATGAGAACCCACCTCACACCCATCAGAATGGCTAACATGAACAACTCAGGCAACAGCAGATGTTGGCGAGGATGCAGAGAAAGAGGAACCCTTTTGCACTGCTGGTGGGAATGCAAACTGGTGCAGACACTCTGGAGAACAGTATGGAGGTTCCTCAAAAAGTTAAAAATAGAACTACCCTATGACCCAGCAATTGCACTCCTAAGTATTTATCCAAGGGATACAGGTGTGCTGATTTGAAGGGGCACATGCACCCCAGTGTTTATAGCAGCACTATCAACAACAGCAAAGTATGGAAAAGCCCAAATGTTCATCGATGGACAAATGGATAGAGAAGATGTGGTCTATATATACAATGGAGTATTACCTGACAATCAAAAAGAAAGAAATCTTGCCATTTGCAACAATGTGGATGGAACTAGAATGTATTATGCTAAGCGAAGTCAGTCAGTCAGAGAAAGATAAATATCATGATTTCACTCATATGAGGAATTTAAAATACAAAACAGAAGAACATAAGGGAAGGGAAGCAAAAATAATATTAAGACGGAGGGAGACAAAACATAAGAGATGATTAAATACAGAGAACAAATTGAGGGCTGCTGGAGGGGTTGTGGGTGGGGGATGGGCTAAATGGACAAGGGGCTTTAAGGTAAGCACTTGTTGGGATGAGCACTGGGTGTTATACGTAGGGATGAATCACTGGAATCTACTCCTGAAATCATTATAGCACTAGATGCTAAGTAACTTGGACATAAATTAAAAATTTTTTTAAAAACCCTGATAAGATGGAGTAAAATGAAACAAAAAACAAAAAACTCTTGCTTAAGTTTCGCTATATGTGTCATATTGTTTGCTTCTTTTCAAGCTGGGTCTTCTCTCTAGCACAAAACGTAGAACATTATAACACTCAGTAAATATTTTTTTATGTTTAGTTATTTTTGAGAGAGAGACAGACAGAACACAAGTGGGGTAGGTGCAGAGAGAGAGGGAGACACAGTATCTGAAGTAGGCTTCAGAGTCCAAGCCGTCAGCACAGAGCCTGACTCGGGGCTCAAACCCACAAACCATGAGATCATGACCTGAGCTGAAGTTGGACACTTAACCAACTGAGCCACCCAGGCGCCCCATAAATGGATAGATTTATAAATGTATAAGTGAACATATACAATGCTTAGAGACTGATGCTTTATTTAACTGGTCTATCAATATTACTGCAATATATAAAAAATCTAAATTAAAAAAAAGTTAAACATAAATTTACCACACAACCCAACAATTCCACTCCCAGGTATCTACCTGGGAAAAATGAAAACATTTGTCCACACAAAGACATGGACACCAATGTCTGTAGCAGCTTTATTCACAAGAATCCCAAACTGAAAACAAGCCAGATGTACATCAACTGGTGAATGGATCAATAAAATGTCATCTATCTGGGGCGTCTGGGTGGCTCAGTTGGTTAAGCGTCCAACTTCGGCTCAGGTCATGATCTCATGGTTCGTGGGTTCATGCCTCACGTCGGGCTCTGTGCTGACAGCTCGGAGCCTGGAGCCTGCTTTGGATTCTGTGTCTCCCTTGCTCTCTGCCCCTCTCCCACTCACGCTCTGTCTCTCTGTATCAAAAATAAATAAGCATTAAAAAAATGTGATCTATCCATGCAGTGGGATATAATTCAGTAATAAAAAGGGATGAACCGAAATATTAAAACATGCTGACGCATGAATGGACCGTGAAAACATGCTAAGTGAAAGAATCTAGACACCACAGGTGACCCTGTGTGGCTCCATCACATGAAATGTCAAGAAAAGGCTTGCAGCACGCTTGGAAAGAGAGTCATTGTCCAGGAACCAGGTCGAGGGGTCTTGTGGGACAAGTTTGGGGCCCTGGCCCAGCCACAGAGGGCTGTGGAGAAGAGCTTGGCAGAGTTTTGAACAGGAAAGTGATATGATCAGGTTTGTGTTCCGAGCAGTCCTTCCGTAGGACTGGGCACAGGGAAGTCAGACGGGAGGCTGTCACAGTGGAGAGAGATGGCGGCTTGAATCCCGGGGGAAGGCGGGAGAGGAGGACCCAGCTATTTGAGAATGTACATTTCCGTATGCACATTTCTGAGCACTTGTTGGGGTTGCTGACTCGTAGAAGATACTCCTGCTAACTAGACAACTGCCCGGTAGCTCCCCAAATTCATGCTGGCCAACCTACACAGGCGATGT